ATCAAGCCACTGAAGAGCACCTGTGGACAACTGAGAGCAAGACCTGGTCCGTCCATCTGCTGGGTCCAACCCATGCCGGGCACTTGGGGTTACTCAGAATGGAAAAAAAGGAGATGGGCTTAGGAAAGAAGCAAGTATTCTTGGGGGAAGGAAGAAGGGAGGAGGCTGTGCTTGGAATGTAGTACTCATTGAGCGAGGTAAAGAAATCCAATTCAGGTCTCTGGTGGAGGCCCAAATTGGGCAAGTCAGAAACCTAATAGACTCCTTTCTCCAAACCTGCCTAGTAGGTTCCTCCTGGGGCACTTCAACACCCCAGCTCCTGCTCAGGCAAGGGGAGAGAACAGAAAAGGGATGGAGGAAGCCTGAGAAAGGAGGCAAGAGGCAAGATAGGAGGCAAGCAGACCAGCAGGAGCTGCCTGGGGACAGAAAAGCTTGAGCAGGCACTGGAGGGGAGGGGTAGCTTGGTTGAACATTCACATTATGGATGCCATGCTGAGCCTTCCAAGAACTGCAATGGGGGTTTCAGATTCCCCGAGTTAGCGTTTTCTGGCAGCGGCTGCCTCCCAAGCCAACTCTACAAACGACCAGAGAAGGCAATGTAGCCTTGTAGCCTTTCCAGTTGATGCTGGAGTCTAGGAGTGCACTCGGTGCCCATGTCTGGTTTCCCCCGAAGTGGCATAGTACTATGTAGCCTACCAAGTGACAGTGCTGGCACCTCAAGTCTCTTGAATGATTGACTGCGTTGGAAACCCCCCTGGCACAGCCACCCTGGTGACAAGGCCTTACATTGCCTTTCTACAAAGTGATAGACACTTTCAAAGCCATAGACACCCTAGGCAGCTCCCCCCCCCCGCCCCCCCCCCCCCGCCCCAGTGCTCTTCTACCACTGCCCCATACATCTCCAACTGCAAGAAAAAGCAGATTCCACAGAGGCACCTGGACACACTTTATTCTGGTATTCTACCTCGGACAGGAGGGTGGAGCGAGTGAAGGGTGCCTGAATCTCCCTCCCTTCTTGATGCGTTTAAGCCCGACAAGAGGAAAACAGCAGCCACTTTGGATAGCAATAGACCCTTCACCCTTTTGGGACCAAATCAGAAGAAACCTGCAAAAGGCTTGGTTTGTTTTGCTGATCAAATTTCCTTCTTAGCTTTTCAGCCCGACAAGGCTAACTCGTTGGCCACCTCCAAACGCTGGGCCGGGAGCCTTGGCCAAGCGCTAAGGGGGTCTGCCTAGACCTTGAAGTTCGGAAAAACAAGAGGAGGTTGAACCGGCTCCCTCCCTTCTTTACAGACACACACGCACCGTCAGGCCGCGGCCACTTCCTGCCTTTGTTTTTCTTCCTCCAAACATTTTTGGCCTCTTGCATTAGCCGCCGTAGGGCTCCGGGTTGACGATTAAAGGAAATAAACGTTGAAGAGTGTTTTCTGGAGACAGCCCGCGCTGTGGAGTTCTTGAGAAAGAACAGCTCCTCGGAAACCAATGTCCAGGGCCAATGTCATAGCCTTGCCGGCAGCCGCCTCTCCTAGGAATGGAACTCGGACTTGGCCTTCCGGTGTGGTCTTATCCCTAGCCCGGTCTTTCCCAGAGCCTGGTGGGCTGAGATCGACCTTCGGCCTCCTGCAAAGCCAAAAAGAGTCAATTAGGCTCAGAGCTGAGTGAAAGCCAAGGACCCGCAGAAATCACCTCCCTTTCTTCCCCCGATTGGGTCCGAACCTCACAGCAACTCCCGCCTTGTACCTTGATGCCTGCCTGAAGAACATTCCCTGTACCGGGTTCAAGCAGGACAGGACCAGGCAAAGCGGCTGCTATTGAGCAGCCTTGGGAACCTTAGCATCCCATCTCTTGTCTCTGCTTAAAGAGCTAACAGTAATCCACAGCTCCAGGCCATTTCCCTTCTGTAGCCATCAAAAACCTTTTCCTCATCCATCTTCACCGCAGCGCCCCCACACGCTCCCTTCGAGGATGCAGATCCCTCTGGGCACCCCTCTTCTCTGCAGCCTGTCGAATCGCTCTGCCAAGCACTCGCGGAGCACCTTCTTCTCCCACAGCCCTTCCTGGGGAATGTGCCTGGTCTCCTGCAGACACCCATGGGATACCTACCTGCCGGCTCCCATTCAACCAGCCCTCGGTGAGAACCCAAAGAGTACTGGCTGTGCGGAGCACTGCACAGTGCCACACCGACCTTTCTGCGGGTACCCCTTCTCCCTGGCATCCGGAGAAGTCGAGATAATAATGAGAGAAGCTGCCATGTAGTCAGGGGAGGCGGCCTTGCATCCCCCGCGGCTGGGCCACCTCGGCCCCACTGCTCAGGCACAAGCTGAAGTTGACTGCCAAAACTGCTATAAAACCGCAGGTCTGTCTAGAACTGTTTTCGGTTCTCCTAGACGCCCCCGGGTTCAATTATGGTCTTAAAAGCCCTAATACAAGTGCAAGAATTTGTTTGCCTTCACCCAGGGGCGGGGCAAGCCCTGCAATGGTGGCGCCTTTGTTATGGCAAAGTCACTGAAACCCTTCACGCATTCCTTTTGTTCGAGGGTAGAGGTGGTGAGGACTGGGTGGGCTGCTGGGCGAAAATTTGAGGTAGCAAAAAAATCAACCCAGGGAGCTGCTCAAATACTGCTGCTCGAAACCTCACCCCCTTTCACATTAGTCTCCAAAAAGATATTGTGAAAAGATAAGTATTTTGCCTCCTTGGCGACTGCAGGAAATAGAAGTTTTTTGCTGCAGGACCATCCGGTAGTTTCGATCCTCAGCTTTAGAAGGCCTGAAGCTACCCTTCCCCAGCAACCTTTCTCCCTCCTACATGTTCCCCCTCCGCCACTGCCGTCATCTATGAAGCCACAGTGGACAAATATGTCAAGCTGAGGATGCACAAGTAATTTCAAGTTCAGCTCTCAGGGATTCAAGGGGCATGAAAGTTCCTGCAGCAAATCCTGAATAAAGAGTTCATTAAACCAATGTGTCCGAGGAGCTTGATTTGTGATAAGCAACCCTTGTAAATGGGGGGGGGGGGTTGGAGCCACATAAACATTAATGCTAATAAATTAGTTTACTCCACTACACAGTAATTACTTGATATTATTGATATTTACAGTGGGCATTCAAATGCAATGGTGGGTCATTATTTGGAGAAAATACATAATGAGAATAGTTCTTTTCCAGAGCAATACATGATTAAATTTGTTATTGAGTCAGTTACACTCAGCTCAGCAATAAATAAATAAATCGATGTTGACACTTAAATACCAAAGATCTTAGCGTTTATACTCTAAATCTCCCCAAGATATGTAAATACCTTTGGTTATTTCCTGGATGAGGAAAGGGAAAAAGGTTTTCATTTTTCACTCTTGACTTTTGTGACACCCTAGCTCCTTCTAAGGGAGTTGTGGGGAGCCCCCAGGTCTGGGCCCCCCTCCTTGCTCTGGCCGTGCCTAGCTGCCCTGTGCCTTCTTTTTTCTTTCATTTTCCCCAAATACTTCTTTCGTCTTGCAGAATGACAAGCATTATTTTGTCTTCTTAATCTCCGTTTCCTCCTCTGAAGAGAGCTAAGTCCATCCCAGCAGTTACGGCCTCATGAGCATTATCTATATGTACGACAAGCCTAGCCTTTTCAAGACATCTCTGTGGCCCAAGGTGCAGGCAGCTCGGAGAACACCTCTTTTCTTTGGCACTGTGCTTCTCCTGTGGACTAAATAGCAAGAATGATGGGAGCTGTCTGGGTTTTTTTTTTCCCCTTGAATATCCTTTGCTTTCACTCTTAGGCTTTGCAAGGAAAAAGAGACGGGTTACTTCTCTCTTAGCCAGGGCTCCTTTGGGCCATTACTCCCTCTTTGCCACCCCCCATTTCCCTCTCAGCTCTGAAGAGCTGCAAGCAGCCTGGTAGGTCCCCCAAAGGTGCAGCATACCCAGGAGAAGGCTCCTCGGATGTCAGCGCCTCTAAAACAGCCCAAGGTTCGCCTCAATTGCATGGTTTCCCGATTCGTCAGCTTCAGCAGACTAGGCAGCTTGCGGACCGGTGAGAAGTGCCGTCCCGGTGCCGCTGGCTCTGCAGAGTCCCTCCGAACCCCTACAGGCAGCGAGGAGAAGGGGGTTCCTCCAAGGGAAGTGAGCAAAAAGATACAGGGAAGGTGGAACCCGGGTGAGGCGAAGGCCCTTCCGGACCGCGCGGATTATTGACAAACCGCGGAGGAAAGCTGCTCTGCCTGTTGGCGGTTTGGGGACGGAAGGCACTAAAGCGCTTCGGAAGTGACCATGAATGAGAGCGTGTAATCAAGTCACCGTGCAAATCGGACAAGCCACGAGGCCGGCACATCCACGGCTGCGAAGCCTGGCCCCAAATGGGGTCCAGCCTGGGTCTGAGGCTGAGGTGTTTCCCAGAGCAAGCCTGGGGGTGGGGGCGAAGAAGGAGGTGGCGAACGTAAGCCTTCGGATAACAGACTCCGAGACCTGGAGTCACACAGTTCCGGGCTTTCACCTGGCCATCCCCAGCCCAGAGCATCCTTCACCCACCGGGGAGTGGTGGGGAGGCGTCGGGAGTTGCCCTCTCTCGCCGCCCTCAGCGCACTCGTGGACCAGGACCATGTAGCTGAGCAAAGGAGAGTTGCTTGGGGGCGCACCCCAGCCTTTCTGCGCGCGGGGAGGCCCCCCAGCCAACATGAGTTACACCGGCGATTACGTGCTTTCGGTGAGAACACCGAGTGACGATCTGTTGCTTCCCCTGAGGTGGCTACAAAGAAAGGAAGCCAGGGAGGGAGGGGAGGGGGAAAAAAAGGAAAGGGAGGGGGGTTTGGGAAAAAAAAAAAAAAGCCGGGACTAGCTCGCAGCTTGTCAATTTCAACATCGGGTCACATGACCAGCACCTCCCTGCTAAGGATGGGGATAGATTTCCACGTCAGCTTACGTCTCCAAATTTCTACTTCACGGATCCGCTTCAAAGAGGCAGCTGCAGTGGAGAATCATGTTAAGCTCGGCTACTGCGGAGAGCCCAAGGTAGCCCAATGATGGATTTTGATGAGCGTGGTCCCTGCTCCTCTAACATGTATTTGCCAAGTTGTACTTACTACGTCTCGGGTCCAGATTTCTCCAGCCTCCCTTCTTTTTTGCCCCAGACCCCGTCTTCGCGCCCAATGACATACTCCTACTCCTCCAACCTGCCCCAGGTCCAACCCGTGCGCGAAGTGACCTTCAGAGAGTACGCCATTGAGCCCGCCACTAAATGGCACCCCCGCGGCAATCTGGCCCACTGCTACTCCGCGGAGGAGCTCGTGCACAGAGACTGTCTGCAGGCGCCCAGCGCGGCCGGCGTGCCTGGCGACGTGCTGGCCAAGAGCTCGGCCAACGTCTACCACCACCCCACCCCCGCCGTCTCGTCCAATTTCTATAGCACGGTGGGCAGGAACGGCGTTCTGCCACAGGCTTTTGACCAGTTTTTCGAGACGGCCTACGGCACCCCGGAAAACCTCGCCTCCTCCGACTACCCCGGGGACAAGAGCGCCGAGAAAGGGCCCCCAGCGGCAGCTGCGACCTCCGCTGCGGCGGTGGCGGCGGCGGCCACGGGCGCGCCGGCAACTTCAAGTTCGGACGGCGGCGGCGGCGGCGGCGGCTGTCGGGAGGCGGCGGCGGAGGAGAAGGAGCGGCGGCGGCGACCCGAGAGCAGCAGCAGCCCCGAGTCGTCTTCCGGCCACACTGAGGACAAGGCCGGCAGCTCCGGTGCGTATAAAGGCAGCGCCCAGCGCTTTATGAAAGGGGAGTTGGGACTCTAGCGCAGCACCGCTGTTAAATTTTTATATGCTGTTTTATAAGCATATAAGGTTTATGAAGGGCCTTTAGGTTTCCCCCAACAAAACTTTGTTATAAAAGGAGGGATCACGTGGCGAGTGCTGAAATTGGCCGTGAAATACCCACCGGCCAAAGCACGCTTGGAAAAAAAAAATACAACTCCCCTTTTTTCCTTTTTTCCCTTCTCAGCTCCCAAACCCAACAGCATGATCCCGCTCGAGGCCAGCTCCAGGCTGGGGAGCCGGAGGTGGGCGCCTGTAAATTCCCCCTACAAGGGCTTCAGGAGCCTTTGATAGCGAGGTAATCCGGAGATTTTTATAAAAGCCATGTGTTGCGGCGGGACTCCAGTCCCGGCTGGGATTCAAAGGCATCGCTGTTTAACGATGGCGCTAGGAGCGCATTTAACAGATAAAGTAGCCCGCTTAGCTAAAGCAATATATTAAAAGAAACAAATTAACCTAAAGTTGGCCTTTTTGTCTAAAGGAAGCCATTTTCCTTGGCGCGGTGGCAATTACGCGCCCGCCTTCTGTTATTCACAGTTGTTATTAAATCAGTCAAAAGCAATGTGGGTTTTTTGTCTTTTTTTTTTTTTTTTTGGTGTGTGTTTTGTTTTTGTTTTTTAAGGTGGGGGTGAATAACTGGCTCCTGCACAAGGCTTAAGGAAGCCTCTCTTCCCTCTACCCTCTCTAAAGCAGCATCCCTGCCCTGCTGAGGGCCTTCAGGCTGTGTGGTGGCAGTGAGCGCAGTGTGAAGGCCCGGGGTTGGGGGTTTCCTCTGCCACCTCCCACCTCGAGAGAGCTGGGAGGCTGGCGGAAGATGCCAGAGCTCTTGATCAGGAGTCAGGCTGACAAAGACCCCGCAGCCGCCCCAGATGTTAAGGAGGGCTAAATCATGGCTGCAACCGGGAAAGCCTGGGGCCAGGATGCATGCCTTTACTGCCTCAGGAACAGGCGGCCCAGGTGCTGAAGGTGAAATGTCCTCGGGCGGCTGTTTGTTTAGTCTGGCGGGGCAAGGCGCAGCCCGCAACCCCCACTTGCCTGCTTTCAAAGCAGTTTAGGCAGAGCAAACTCGCCTGTTGCTGTGGGGAGCCCTCCTTTTTGCTCAAGGGGCAGCCTGAGCCCTTTCCCTGGGGGCCTATCTAGGGAGCTGGCTTTTTATCTGAAGCCGGCTCCGACTGCAACTTGTCCCTGGCCAGCAATAGGAGCCTGAAGGCAAGGGCCTGGAAAGACTTTGAAGGGGCCTGGACTGAGCCACCAGACCCAGTGGCCAGACCTTTTTCTCCCTTGGGGGTCTTGGGGTGAGTTGCAGCCCCTATTTCCTGCTGACTCTTTGCCTCTCTCCCTGCTTAGGTGGCCAACGCACCCGAAAAAAGCGCTGTCCTTACACCAAATATCAGATCCGAGAGCTGGAGCGAGAGTTCTTCTTCAGCGTCTACATCAACAAAGAGAAGCGCCTGCAACTGTCCCGCATGCTCAACCTCACCGACCGTCAAGTCAAAATCTGGTTTCAGAACAGAAGAATGAAGGAAAAAAAGATTAACAGAGACCGGTTACAGTACTACTCAGCTAATCCGCTTCTCTAAGGCTCCAGCCTCCTGGAATTGGGAGGGGGGGTTCATACATGTGAAATAATATGCAGATTTTGCCCTTGACAAGGTCAAGCCACACAGTGACTTGGGAAAAAAAGGGGGGGGGTGATGTAGGAGAGAGGGGAGGCTTCCTTTGCAGAGATAGCCCAATAGGGAGGGGCCTGAAACTCTTGGTTCAGATCTCAATGGCTAAGCTTCCTATTAATAATTGGATTCTAAGAGTTGTGAATCAATGGAATGAATGGTTTGGGACCCCTGGTGGTTCACTCTTTGAGCCTGCAAAAGCTTTGGGCTGGGTGTGGTCACCGGGGATTGGGCCCCCTGCCAAACCCCTTGGAGGCCACCCCCTCAGGACCCTCTGCACAGAGCCTGCCCACCCCCAGGACTCCTAAGTCAAGAAGTTGTGTATGCTCTGCAGGCCTAGTTCAGCTTGGGGACAGGGGTAGGAGGAAAGGGGAGGGTTCCAAGATATCCAGAATGGGTTGCCTTCCAAAAGTAATGTGAAAGAAAGTTGGACTAAAAGGTGGCTGTGAAATGGGAGAAAGCTGGGTCCTGGAGGAAAGAGAAATCTGTCCAGGTGACATTAATATCTTTCCATCCATCCCTCCTAGCTACCCATTGTTCTACACACACAGGCCTGAAGCTCCTAGCGGTCACCTCCTGCAGCCCACCTGGGTTTTCTACCTCCCAATGGTGGTAACTGTCATTCAAGCCCAAAGTTTGATGGCAGAACTGACTATTCCCGGGGTAGAAGACATTGAAAAATCCAGAGGCTATGCTGGCTGCTGGTCCCTCAGTCTCTGCAGGAAATGCCTGTGGAACGCTACGGTTTGGCAAAGTCTCCTCCACGTTAAGGAAGCTTGGATTCGGTGGGAGCCAGACGACAGCAGAGCAACAGACCTGGCCAGTGGTTGGCTCTGGTTATAAGGGGCTGAAGTCTCCCCGCTCCCAAACCCCCCATTCCTACGCTGCACTCTGCTCTCATTGACTCAGAACTGAGCTTGGAAGCTTCTGGCAATCTTCTAAGAGCCGGAGAGTGATTTGGAATTATTTTAAAAGATAAATATTATATTATATATATATTTCCCCGAAAGAACCAAAGCGAATTTTAAGATGCAATGTAGAGGGGGCGGGGATAATAAAAAATATTTAAAGGCTCTATCTGTTTACAGTGTTCCACGGTTAAACTCGCTCACTGCTAAAAATATTTGAATGTATGCTTCATACAGGGATGGTGTTCAAAAGACTTGTAAATAAAGAAACCATAACCTAATGTGTTTCAATACTCTTCTTCCCCCATCCCCACTCCCCTTTGGTTGATTTCTTTGAGGGTGCTGGAGAGAATGGGAAGGATGTTAGGGATGGTCTTTTCAATCTCTCACAATATTGAAAAGTGTTGGCATGCCTAGAGCTAGCCTACCAAGACCTGAGAACTTCCTTTGAGGAGCCAGGCACTCTCCAAGTGAATCTCTTCTGCCTCCCTATGTTAAGAAATCCCTGGCGGCTCTGTTTGTAATGAGTGAGTGCCTTAGGTCAGTTCTTATCCACCCTGTATTTCCTATATGTCTTAACATACCCACAGACAATAGGGCACACAGAAAATAAAGAGGGAAGAAATTTGAGTATTGAGTCCTGGTGTGAGATTTCTCTCCCTGGTTGCTTTCTCCTGCCAAATGTCTCCTCTCAGCTAGCATCCTTTTTACCAGTAAAAGGAGTGCGTTCCCAGGCCCCTGAGGGGTGTGTGTAGAGGTGGTAGAATCAGAATTGAGCTACAATAGAAGCCAAGCATAGGAAGCTGAGACTATAAGTCCTTGTGAAAAGCAGAAACTTAGGGGTGGGATATGTCAGGGCCTAGCATGTGAGACTGACTTCAGCCTTAGAGAAGGCCTTGGGGGCATACAAGGGCCAATGGCCGGCCCAGTCTAACCTTGCTCACCTCAGGAGTGAGTCGAGGCCCCCTGGGTGTACCCTGTGGATCCCTTCAGCAATAGGGACATGAGTCCAGGTATCAAGGCAGAGCTGAACCTCGGGAACCTCTCAGTGTGTTTCCTGTCCAGCTCCAGCTCCCTCTCCGTTCCCTTGGGCAAAGAAAGATGCGGGCTTGCTCTTTGTTTGCTGCCTTTGAACTTCTGCCTTAAATTTGGACATCACCCATAACCTTGAGGGGCAGAGCTGAAAGGACAGAGCCTTTTGTTGCCACCCCACCCTCTTTCCAGCCACCCAGGCAGAGCCAAAGCAGCCAAGAGGGTCTCATTTGGAGAGAGGCCTTAGGCTCCAGACTCTGCTCTGTTTATTTGTTTGTGTGTTTGTCTAACTGGCGCGACGGGAGAAAGGGAGCTGAAAGGGGAGAGGGACAGACCCCCTAGATGAATGTCTAGGTTGATAGACACACTGAAAAGAACAAGGGCCCTCCTGGGGGGCTAAAGGGGGCGGGCAGGGAAGCCCGGTTTAGGAAAAGACTTCCTTTGGGATGGTTAAAGATTAACCAAAGTCTCTCAAGTTGCTAGAGAGAGTCTAGCCAGGAGAACTGCTTGCAGGCGGGCGGCGGGCGGGCGCGGGTTTGATTTCTGAGCCCTATAAAAGCCCATCCTCCGATGGCTGTGACAATGTGGTCGTAAACCCGTCCCGGGCCGGCCAATTTGCATATTTGGAATGCGCCGCTATAAACCCGGCTGGGGTTTTGCAGCAATTTCTTAGATGTAAAAATGAGATCTCAATAGCAGCGGGTTGGGCACATTCTCTTGCTCTTTCTCTGCCGGGAGCCAGCTTCCTTTTCTGGGCGGCAGGCTGGATCTCCAGCCTCGCCTAGGCCCGCAGCCGCCACGAGATGGCGCACTTCCGATCAATGTCAAAGCCGCCAGGGAGCCGGGAACCCCAGCGAGATTCTTGGCCTTTGTTCGCTTCTGATACTAAGAGCAGCACGGTTACGTTATTTCACTTGTCCGGCTCCCCTTCGTATTCAAAAAAAGGGAGCCTCGCGCTCAAGAAGTGATTGGGGTTGTAATTTAAAGCAAAGCGCCTTCGCTAGGCCTCTCCGCATCGCGGCGGCGTGGAGAGGCTGCTGCCCTTTGGCAGTGATTTCAGAAATGACTCAAGGTAAGTGGCCACAAGTTTATCAATTTCACTGTAGCAGAGGTGGGAGTGGGGACGTAGCTGATGCCTAAGCGAAGCTCCAGGCCATGATTGAGTTTGTGGGGTGATGAACGTTTGCCACCCTCCTACCCCCCCACCCCCCGCGCTCACTCCCCATAGCTCTCTATGGTTGGAAGCAGTGGGAGGCCTGAGTGGAAAAGTTGTCCGTTTTAGCTCCGTGCGCCAGGATTTCACCCAAGCTTCTCACCCCAGGCGATCTCTCGATTTTTGCCGAAATGTTCAGATCTGAATGCGTTAGATATATATGGTCGGAACCCAGGCGAAAGAGAATCAGCTGTGCTGGGATTAGGGCTGTTCAGAGAGAAAAAGAGATTGTAGACTAAGGAAAAGAAAGTTTCTCCTTGGAAACAATGGAGTGGTCAGCATCTGTGGCGATTAGAGCGGGTTTATTCCCTGGGGCAGCCCGCCAGAGGTTACCGGTTTTCTTGTAGGTGCTGACTAGAAGTCTGCCTAGCAGGCTAGAAATAAGCTTTGTTCCAAAAAAGGCCATTCAAAGAATGGGTTTTTTGGTTTTTTGTTTTGTTTTGTTTTGTTTTTGAGGATGTTGGAGACAGCCCCGTACTGCGTACTGCGTATTCGGAATGTGGCATCATAATACTGGTTGGCGTTTTCCAACAAAATCTAGCCTTTAAAACGAGGGGGGGTGTTATTGCATATTTTGCAAATTATACAAAAAACACATTGGTAAATATCGTTATATTTGTTTAAACGGCATGGAGGATCAAGTCTGACCCATTAGGCATTTGTTCAAGACTTTCATAAAACAAGTGGTTTTTGTTTTTAAATAACCAAAGTGCTTGCATTTTGAAGGCCAGATTGAAATCTCCTGTTCCTCCCATATTTACATTTTTATTTTAATATTTTTTCATTTGTTTCTCGAAATAGTTTCTTTCCACAAATATACCACACCATGGATGAGTAAAAAGAATTTCATAACAAATAGGTGCTGACTCTGTTCACATGTGTGTGAGCAAAAATCATGCTTATGAACGGCTAGTTTTGTAAAGCATGGGCTCCTAAGACGTGCCAGAAAAAAAGTCAGCCTGAGCAGAAACGAGGGCCCACCCTGTGAACTGCTGTTGCTGGGAACTTTTCTTACACTCCTGAGCTGCTGCCAGTCTTCCAGGCCAGAGCCATTTCTTCACCTACAAAACCAAGAACACTGGTACTTCAGGACTACCGACAAAAGGCCCCAATACTTCCCCCACTAAACTGCAAGGCCAGCTCGATGGTTGGATTTAGAGAAAAGAAAAATAGGAAAATATTTTAAGCTGAGGATAGAGTGAACGTTGTAGACAAGAAAAAAAAAATAACCCCACACATTAAACATCCCTGGAAATGTCAACATTCTTAAAGAACAGGAGAGGAATATTGCTTATGAAAAAATCTAGTTATTCATAAATGTATAACTGGGAGAATTTCTGAAATTTTGTTAATGCTGGACGTGCTGACGCTGTATTAATTTTTCACCATAAAGCTTCAACCCAGCTCTACAGCCCTCTGCAAAATCTGGAACACCCAAAAAATGTTGAGAATGGTCTCCATATACAAACTGATTTGTATTTCGTTCTCAGGACATAGGTTTTTTTGGGGGGGTAGTTTGTTGTTGTTTGTTTTGTTTTGTCCTAGTGAAAAACTCAACTTATTTTCATAATAAGGATGTATTTGGGGGCCTCACAAGGACCTGATCCGGAAGAGGAATCTGCTATCAAGTAAAATGCAGAGTAATCCTCAAACTTTCTTGATTCATGTGCCTGGCATTTCCTGTGGCTCCATGGAGCGAATGGGTGTTATCACCAGGTAGAAACCGGCAATATTTACTCCCGAACAAACACAGACTCTGGCAGTGGCGGCAGCAGGGTGATTGCTACACATGCCTGGTTAAGGCCAGCAGGCACCATGGGTTTTAGGTCAAAGGCATCTAGAGAAGGAAAAGGGAAATCAGCAGCTGAGAGGAAAGGCTAAGGAGAAAAGAAAGAAAGAAAAGGGAATTACTCTACTTAATCTCCTGGGGATGGTGAATCTCCGGAAAGCCAAGGAGCTCAGTAAACAGAATATTTTTATTGAGGAGGCTAACACCTCATTGTTGTGGTCTAGGGAGACACTGGAGCCTTCTGGGCGGCTGAGGGATGCCTGGGGCTCGGGACCACATTTACCTTGAGTTTCTGAGTCATTGTATTTACTTTGAGATCGCCACATCAGGCCAGTGGGCCAGATACCCCCACAGTATCCCATGGTAGGTAGGCTCTCCTGTTGTCCCCTTGCTCAGCAAGCCTCAGAAGGAGTAGAACAGAGCTCCCAGTCAGCATGGGATTTCCATGAAGGCTTACACGCTTAAACAAGGAAAGAAAGAAAGAGCTCAAATTAAACACCACCGTTTGGTTTCCTGCAAGCTGGGAAGTTACTGTTGAGGACAACACATCTGCTCTCCACAAAGGCTGATGAAGATCCAGTGCCAATGCCATGGTCTGTGAGGTTGGTAGCAGGCAATCTAAATTCCCCCAACCTTTAGCAGACGGCGGGCGGCCTTTATATGCAGTGCCCGAGCTGACTTTTTAACCTTGTTCAGCCTTTGCTGGCTTCTGGATCCCATCCAGCCTAGAAGCCCATTTGGCCATCCTACAAGGCCTTGGCTAGGACCTGCCTGAGCGGCTTGTAGCTGGGCACCTGGCTTGTTTTATCAGACAGATAGGAGAGTCCTGGATGCTTTAGAGAAATTGAAGAGAAGGCTTTTTTTTTTTTTTTTTTTGGCGGTGGTGGGGTGGGGTGGGGGTGTCTACAAACTCCTTGAAAATGATGGGTCAAATCATGGGAATGCAGATTTGGATTTTTCATATGATAAAGTCAGAACTACCCTTGGATTACTCAGAGGGCTCCTTGAATCCCTGGAAGGTTAAGGAAGATGCTATATCTGTATCACCATCTCCCTCTTTATTCTTGTAGCTTCTGCTGTCTCAAACACTCTCCAGTGGCCACTGGTCCTTTAAAAACCACAGTCAGGGAAGCTCCTTTTTGCATGTGATCCAGACAGGGACAGCTGAGGGCTCTAACCCTGGCCCCCAAGCCTGCTGGTCTGCTGCTGCTCCTTTTCCTCAAGGAACAGTCAGCGCTCTTGGAACCTCCTTCCCCACATAACAGCTCTCCAGAGAGGCATCTGAATAGCTGAAGAGCAAAGTGCCTTTTTTTTTCCCAGGCAGCCCCAGTTTCAGGGCATTTCCAGGTGATACGTTGAACACAAGAGTTCCACCAAGCCTGTGAACAGAGTAGGGACCCAGCATATCCTGGAAGCTTAAGGTAGGACCATAGGCTTCAATGCTCTGAAGCTTTGCAGCATTCTGGCTGTCTGGCTCTTTAGGCCTACCCATATTAAATTTGCCTTGGCCTTGGGTACAGAAGCAAAACAGATAGTTAACAATGTCTCACAGAGACCCAGCTCTTATTTTCCCGAGTGGCTGCTGCAGATTGAAGATTCCGGCAGCAGAGAGCTGATGCTCATCTGTGTTCCTATTCTCTCTCTCTCTCTCTCTCCTTTCTCATCTCCTTGTCTCCTTCTTCATCTCCCTCCGCCCCTCTTTCTTTCTCCACTCCTTTCTTTTCCATTCAGATGCTTAAATACCCAGCCCTACCAGAGTGTCACCTTGGGGAGACAGAGGTAGAAGTGACAGGGATGCCTCCCTCCTGTTAGCAGAAGCACGGATTCCTGGGCGCGGCTGGCCAAGCAGCTGCAAACAACCTCGGTTGCTTGAATCACAGAACCCAGAGGCTGGCCTCTACCTAGCTCCGTCTCCTCTGTGTTTTCACATTCAGGGTCCTCTCAGGGTTGTCTTTGTCCAGTGGCTGGATTCATTCTGGGAGGAACCAGAACATGACCATTTCAATGCAAGAGCCTTTCTCTGCTGTTTGCAGAGGCCTGAACAATGTAGTTGCTGGGATCGGGGCAGTCAGCAACTCTCCAGTTCCAACTGGAGCTGGCAGGCCCAGGGCATCCTGGAGACCTTGTAACCTTGTGGGTTACAGGTCAGGGGCAGAGCATCAACCGCACAAGCTCCACTGGATCTTGCCGGAAAAGGTCACATTTCCTGAGCTTGATATGAGGCACACACTTGGGGGTTAGCATGTGTCCCAGGCTGACCACTTGTAATTGCTTAAGAAAGCACCCCTGAGTCAAACCCAGTGTCTGCTAAGCAAAGCTCCTGGTCTCTGGAGTCTCTTATAACAGGGCCCAAACACAGCTTAGCCTTCCAGGGAATGGATTGCCTCATCACCACCTTGTTAAAATGTGCACGCTATACTCAAAATGGCTGGAACAAGAACTGCCCCAGCCATGTCTTGGGGGTGGGGTCCTGTTTGGGGTGGTGGAGGACAGCAAGACACGAGTGTAGTGACAGGTTTTTGTCATAACCTCAGGGAGCATAGTAATGCTAAGGATTACTAATGCTGACAGAAATCAGTGTGGTAGAGGTTTTTGCTGGACACATCCTTCCAAGGTTTCCCTTCCAGTTCCCCCAGTGCAGAAAGACCAGAAACCCAAGGCCAACATTCTAAATCCCCAAAGGAAGTGAATTTGGGACCCCTCGGGATGATGGGGAGTATGCATTTGACTCTGAACCGAGGGTGGTGGGAAGTCTTTGGCTGGGGTTGCCAGACCGTTGATTTTCACCTCACTGAGCCAGCTAGGCAAGGCTGGATGGCAGAAGTAGAGGCATGAACCGACTGAGCACGGTGAAGGAGAAAAATCCTGACTGGCCAAAGGATGGAGTAGGGAAGTTGTGAGCACTGGCTCAGGCGGCCGATCAGCCAATGCCTTTTCGATATTATTCTTTGTGCGATGCGGTCTAGCCAGCTTCCAGTTCACTGTGGCTTCTGGACACTCCGAGGGTCTTGACAGCCTTAGGACCACACCAGCCACTTTGAGGGAGCCAAATTTAAGAACTAGAACCAGCTCCAGGTCCAGAAATGAGTAGGACAGAGAGACTGCGACAGGGCCTGCTTAAATGATCAGGGGGCGACAGGGACTTATGGCCACTCCACAGCAGACATGGGAGCGCCCAAAGATGGCTGGGGTGCACATCATAAACACCCCACTTGTTAACAGCGCAGGGCCCAAGGGCGCTTCCAAATATATTCTTTGCTGGGGTGGGGTGGGGGGGCGAGTTGCAGGCTCAAGAGCCAGGTCCCCAGACCGCCACTTTGAGGCAGCCCCCACAGTTCTGGCCTTCGGGCCATAGGTGTCAGACGTGCGTGCGTCTTCTGGCCCATCAATACAGATTACATATTTATATCAATCGCGGGCTCCGAGGGCGCCCTCGGAGAGCGGCCCCGCGCCTACGAAACCAAACTGGGAGTGGTCGCGTGGAAACTCTGGCTCGGGATTGGCTGTGGGCGCCCGCCGCGGTGCGGGGGGATTGCTAATCGTATTCAGCATGTTTTGCACAAGAAATGTCAGCCAGAAAGGGCTATCTGCTCCCTTCGCCAAATTATCCCACAACAATGTCATGCTCGGAGAGCCCTGCCGCGAACTCTTTTTTGGTCGACTCGCTCATCAACTCAGCCAGAGGCGAGGCGGGTGGCGGTGGCGGTAGCGCGGGGGGCGGCGGAGGCGGCTACTACGCCCACAGCGGGGTCTACCTGCCGCCAGCCAGCGACCTGCCCTACGGGCTGCAAAGCTGCGGGCTTTTCCCCGCGCTGGGCAGCAAGCGCAATGAAGCGCCATCGCCCGGAGGCGGTGGCGGTGGCGGCAGCGGGGGCCTGGGTCCCGGGACGCATGGCTACGCGCCCGCGCCCCTAGACCTGTGGCTGGACGCGCCCCGCTCCTGCCGGATGGAGCCACCCGACGGGCCGCCGCCACCGCAGCCGCCACCCCAGCAGCAGCCGCCGCCCCCGCCGCAGCCGCCCCAACCCCCGCCACAGGCCACATCGTGTTCTTTTGCGCAGAACATCAAAGAAGAGAGCTCCTACTGCCTCTACGATTCTGCGGACAAATGCCCCAAAGGCTCGGCCGCCGCCGACCTGGCCCCTTTCCCGCGGGGCCCGCCGCCCGACGGCTGCACCCTGGGCGCCTCCAGCGGAGTGCCAGTGCCGGGCTACTTCCGCCTGTCCCAGGCCTACGGCACGGCCAAGGGCTTCGGCGGCGGCGGCGGCGGCGGCGGCGGCGGCACACAGCAGCTCGCCAGTCCTTTCCCTGCGCAGCCCCCGGGGCGCGGCTTCGACCCGCCGCCCGCACTGGCCTCGAGCTCAGCCGAGGCAGCCGGGAAGGAGCGAACCCTCGACTCCACGCCGCCGCCCACGCTGGTGTGCGCCGGTGGCGGCGGCGGCGGAGGCTCGCAGGGCGACGAGGAGGCGCACGCGTCATCCTCGGCGGCTGAGGAGCTGTCCCCGGCCCCTTCCGAAAACAGTAAAGCCTCGCCGGAGAAGGACTCCCTGGGTAAGCAGAGTGCCACCGAGGGCTCCAGGCAGGCGGGCAGACAGACAGACAGACCCACAAGGAAGGAGCAGAGGACCAGGAGCCCGCGCGGCAGCCGCAGGCCTTGGCCCAAGCTGAAGGCAGGCTGACCTTCTGAACTTGTTTTTAATATTTGGGCGTGGGGACGCTGTAAAAACCCATGTCCGGCTTAGTGCCCCACATCAAGACATCCATAGTGCTGGCCCCAGCTCACCCAGACTTGGGGGATGATGAGGACACCAGTGAGCAGCCCTCCTCCTGTGCATGCACTTTCTTGTGGCCCTGAGTACCCCCAAGCCCTGGTCCCCAGCCCAGCCTGCTCAGCGCGGCCCACGCGGGGGGAGGGGCAGGGAGGGAAAGTGGCTGGCCTGCAGATAGCACGGATGTTTGTAAGGCATCCAAAATAAGCAGCCGCCAGCGCCAATAAATAAGCCCATTAACCGGCGAAGTTCGAGTTTACGATCCCCCATGCCTTTTTCAAAGTTCCTGGAGGGGCGGGAATCCTGGTTGCAAGAAGAAGAAAAGGCAAATCCCGCCCGGACGCCTGGGCCCTGAACTGAAACCTAGAAGTGGCCATTTCCCTTCTCTTGGAATTCGGTGTCGCCCAGCTGCACACCCCAGTTTCTTGGAGAGACAGGGGCGGAACAGCCCTTGACCCCAGGATCGGTTTTTCGGGACTTCCCAATTGGCCCAACTATGTCCTTCTCTTCTGGCCTAGGGCAGTCTATGGGGCTAGGGTAAGCCAGCGAAGAGGCCGGCTTCTGGTCCAAATAAGCATCCCTCACCCCCAGCCTGGGGGCCGCAGGAAATGGTTCCCTGCCACTGGGTGAGAGGCAGAGAAAGGCGTTAAGTTCAAGATGTACGGCCTTGCCTACTCCGGCCTTTCATTCTCTAAGCGCCCCGCGGCGTGGTGTTAAAACAGGTGCCTGGAAAAAAAGTAGAGGGAAATGTAAATTGGGAGGACCCGGTGTGGATTTGAGGCCCACTCGATTTTGTCATGCCTTTTGGAGGGATTTCTTGTTCTCCGAAAGTCAAAGGAGGGCATAACCCTCTCTCTATGACTTCGGGCAACCCTCGAATGGGAAAGACCCGGAATTCACCCCCCTCGCACAGCCCGAGTGGCCTCGACTTAACCTTCCCTTCTGTATTCTCTTAAACTCCAGGCAATTCCAAAGGCGAAAATGCAGCCAACTGGCTCACGGCAAAGAGCGGCCGGAAGAAACGCTGCCCCTACACGAAGCACCAGACGCTGGAACTGGAGAAGGAGTTTCTATTCAACATGTACCTTACTCGAGAGCGGCGCCTAGAGATCAGCCGTAGCGTCCACCTCACGGACAGACAAGTGAAAATCTGGTTTCAGAATCGCAGGATGAAACTGAAGAAAATGAACCGAGAAAACCGAATCCGGGAGCTCACAGCCAACTTTAATTTTTCCTGATGAAACTTCCAGGCAATGCCGTGTTTTCGCTTCCAGAGCGCCTGTACCCCTCCTGCCTCCAGCCTCTGCCCCAGAACTCGCACCTGTACCGGAGCCCTGTTCCTCCCTTCCACACTTCGCCATCTCCCAGGCCGTTTCGTCTGTGCAGGGCTGGTTTGTTCTGACTTTTTGTTTCTTTGTCTGTTTGCTTGGTGTTGGTTTACTTGTTTTCTGGGGGAAAAGCCATATCGCTAAAATTCTATAGAGATTGAGATTGTCCTCACTGTCAAGTCCTGACTGGGCTGGGTTCGCTGCTAGAAACAGCCCCAGTACTCCTACATAGATCTGGTTTCCTGCCCAGCCCTGGGTAAACTTAGCCGGAAGCCCTAGGTCCCATTGTCGGGCGCTGAGGTGTCTGGCCTGAGGTCAATGGTGCAGGGAGCCGCCACCGGGTTCGCCAGCCTGGAGTGCTGCTGGGCTGTGTTTAATCAGGGAGTACAGGCCTGATTTCTCTTTTCTTCCTTCTTTTCTTCCTTGGCCAAGAGCAGAGAATCGAAACATGGACATGCAGGTTAGCTAAAGGGCTTGACCTGGCTGATTGAAAAAATGAGAAAGAAATAATCAGGAAGATTAATTTTCCTTCCTCTGTAAGATCTCCCAGCTTTAAATGAAAATAAAAATGGCCAAGAGAAGGAACCTTCTCTTCCGGTTTGCTAAGGTCTTGCTTGCCTGACTAAAATCCTTCATTTACCTTTGAATTTCCATATCCTGGCTGTTGATAAATAATGTAGGTTTGTTTATACATGTGGAATTAGTGGATTTTTTGCCATTAAAATTGTTACCAATGGGTAACACGCGAAAAGCACACCATGATTCTCCCTATCTTATGGGGTTGGTCTTTTTTGTTTGTTTTTGTTTGTTTGTTTGTTTTGCTTTAATTCCCTTTTTTTTTGTTTTGTAGGCTTTCTGAAATTCATGGAAGCCTAGGCGGGCTGGGGCAAGCAGATGAGAGAAGGGAGACATTGTTTGGATTTCCTTTATACTGTGAAGTTACAATGCATAAAAGGGTCAAACCTGTAGGTGCAGAAAAAGAAAAGACTATAAGTACAAATCTGTATAAATGTCTATTATTATGAAAAATTGCCAATCTTGTTTAAGCAAATGCATTCTATCATTATTATAAATGTTAGTTCTAGCTTTATTTACTTCAAATCTTAAATCAGAATAAATTAATATTGTATTGCTGCTGTGCGTGGAAAAAGATGATGTTTATGTTCTTATAGAATAAAAGCTGTGGAATGAAGCTTTTTAATTTTACCTCTTTTTTGACTTCTTATCTTCACCTTCTACTTTATCCTGTCCACCACTTTTACAACAGGAGGGCTACTCCGAGCCCCCTGCAATTACTTTAGGCATCTATTTAAATATTACCTAGACGGTCGTAATTTGTCTGGGCCCTATAGCCCTGGTGCCTTAAGGTTTGTCGGCTTTTGTTCAGTTTTATGACTTGCTAGTATATCTGGATTGTGGCTGTCTTGGACCAGTGGTTTCAGTTGCGAGGAGAGCTGCATAGACAGAGGAAGCTAAACAGGATTTCTTTCGGGAACCCCAGAGAGACTCGCAGAGGCCAGTTATTTTGCGGGTGTCCAGGTCCCAGAAGACTCCACGCTCTAAATCCGCGGAGGAGGGCCCACTCACAGAGCACCACTAGTGTGCCTGCGGCGGCAGCGGTTAAGTGGACCCGGGCCGAGCTGTCCAGGGTCACCCCCTCCCCCTGCCGGGCCTCCCCCACCTGGCGGCCCTCCGCTAGGCCACGCGTTTCCTGCTCGCCGGAGGTGGGGGGGGGGGAGCGACACTTGGGGGGGGGAGGGTCTCGGGAGCGCGCGCCTCAGCGGGCGGGCGGCTAGGAGGGAGACGAGTGGGGAGAGCGAGCGGCTGCGGGGAGCAAGTCGAAGAGGCCGCGGCCGGACCCAGGACTGGGCTCGGGGCTGTCCCCTGCGCTTTCCGGTCGTTCAAGGCGGCGGCTGCACTGCTCGGCTTCGTGAAGCTGCAGGATCTGGGGAACCCTCGGCATGCCGCTCGGGCTTCCCTCTCTTCGCGCCCCCCCCCCTTCCTTTCCTTCTTCCTCCCCCTTTCTCGTTCCTCCTCCTCCCTTCCCCTCATTCTCCTAGGCGTACCTTCCCGGGGACCAGCGGCTTCTTCTTCCACTACCACGGGTTTAGGGCAGTGGCTGGCGCAGGTTGCGGAGGGCTGGTCTGGGCACGATCGCAGAGCAGGGCTCTTTCCTTGGCGGCGACGGTGGCGGCAGCGGAAGGCGGCTGCGGGCGAGGCAGCCCGGCGCCGGCAGCAACAGAACTGGTCGGTGATTTAGGTAGTTTCCTGTTGTTGGGATCCACCTTTCTCTCGACAGCACGACACTGCCTTCATTACTTCAGTTGAAAGCGTCTCCAGGTACCAGCCGGGGTGGCCAGGCGGGCCATCAAGGCCTTAATCGTGCCAGGCCTGCGGTGGCATCCTCGGATCCCCAGTGCTGGAGGAGCTTCGGGTCCTCAGCGCTGTGCCATCCAGCCCGCCTCACGCTTTCCGCCCCGCACCTGGCCCGGGGCAGGTATGGTCAGGTTAGCGGCAGATTCTGGGACGCCGGGGGCGTGGTAAGAATTCTGGGCCCCCGGGCCATTCAAGGTCAGGGGCGCTCGCTTGCAGCCTGAGCTTTCCTTACTGTAGACCTGCGCCTGTCTGGGGCTCTGCTGTTCTCCTGCAAGGCTGGGCTGGAACTCACACGCACCACTGTAATCCCGCCTTGAGCTGGGGGGAAATTCTTTCGCCAGTAGAGCCCCAGGCTGAGATAGGAGAGTCGGGATCGTCCTTCTGGGAGTGGTATCCTGGCCTTGTTGCTTACCCTTTCCTCTGCAAGCGCGCCCTCGGCTCCTCAGAGTCGCCGCTGTGTATTTTACTTATTTTCCATCCTCTTTCCTTCTTTCTTTTTTATCCCTTCCTTTTGCATTTTCGTTGCTCTGTCCCTTTTTTCTTTTTCTTTTTTTCTTGCATCTTCCATCTTTCTGTCCAATTCTATATCTGTTTCCTTTCCAAATCGTCCTTCCGGAGGGGAAAGGGCTGGCTTAGAGAAAGCTTAGAGCTTTCATTTTTATTTATTTATTTTTTTCCCCCGGTGCACAGGGTTGAGTGTGCCGAGGAAGGGATGCGTAAGGGAGGCTGTTCAGGACCGTGGTTTTTGGCCTGGTGGGCCTCTGCGCAGACAAGGCCTCGGTTACGATCACGACCGGATGGCGGCGGCCTTGCGTTAGCGGCTGCCTGAGAGATCCGCAGAGGGGGCACCCGCGGCGTCTTTGTGTGCCCACACGGAGGGCAGGGAAGCCTTCACCAGCTCCCTTGGTTCGGAAACTGGAATCGGAGCTGAAGCCCACCCTAGGTTCTGTGGAACCTGGCTACCGAGAGAGCTCCCTCAGGAAGTTTCGGGCCGGCTCTGCCAGCTTTACCGGTCCTAACTCGGGCTTTGACCGTGATGAAGGAGCCTCGCTGGGGCCAAGGCTTGACTGCTGGCTGGCTTGCCAGCCGTAGCGGATCCAGAAAATGTTAGCCTCGCCCCCTCCCCCTTGTGCAGCTGGGTGTTTGAGAAGGGGGCTTTCCCAGCTCCAATATATTTTCAAATGAGTGAAAAACAATGCCAAATTCAAGAACTAAGAAGGCACAAACTTGAGTATTGGTTTTAAATTGTAGTCTACGAAAGCCACCCCAACCACTCTCAATACAGACAACTGAAAGCAAGCCGTCCCTCCCCCTGCAACACACGCACTGCCTTGAGACCACAGAACTCTGTTTCCGTTCCCAGCTCAGGCTAGGAATTGTTTTTATTGCTCATAACAACCTGTTATCTGAAAGGCCAGTACACCCGGTTCCCTCCAACTCTTCTCTGCCATTTTCTGGATCAGGGTATTGGATTTATTTCAGAGGCCACGGTTTTAGGAAGATTCTCAAATGAAAATGCGGTGGTTTGTGATTTCACCCACATATTGTTTCTAGATGCGCATACAACCCCTTTTACGTCCAAAAGAAAGCAGGAATAAAAAGCTGAATACTCTAGCATCCAATCTCTGGGCTCACAAGAACAATGTCTGCTTTGGGGAATTTTCCCCCTTTCTGCCCACCAGTAAAGAGCTGCTTGATACTCAATGCCTGCTACTTATTTTGTAATTCTCCTATTTGGCGACTAATGTTTTTAAAATATTTTTAATAAATAATAATAATAATAATAATAATCTATTCTCTGGGTTAAAAAAAAGTGAAAAAAAAAAAGGCAGCCAGCCAGCCATGCTCTGTCACTCACAGACAATTACAATTAAGAGCAGAGTTACACTCCAGGGTTATTGCTTAAATGAGAATCTGAACCTCAGAGGCCTGCCGGATATTTAGAACACCTTGGCCTGTGCTGGGGGTGGGGGGTGGGAATGACTTGGAGGAATTTGAAGGGAAAGGAAAATATTAGGGGGAGGGGACTGAGGCAGTTGGGACAAGCCTCATCCAGTTCCTGATGGTGGCCACTTTCTTCTTCCTGCTGATGGCCAAGAAGGGACTTGTATTCCCAGAGTTTCACAGCCTTCCTCCTTGGTAGAGCCTAGCATTTTGGGGATTCCTGTCTCCTGGGATAGGAATGTGTTAGAGTGTTGGAAGGTGTTTTCTTGAACTCTTTGTAAGAAAAGAAAGCAAAAAGCAAGATGGAAGTGTCTCAGCCCAGCAGTTTTGCTGACAGTGAAGTAATCAGAAACATACTCTTGGAAGGCGCAGACTTCACACGTGAATTTAATTATGCAGGTCCTAGGAGTTGTTGCTTTGTGCTCCGAATTGGGAGGGGGTCACCCCCCCCAACAACAGTGGCTGTGGCCTTTTCACTTTCTCTCATCCCCCAAGATTCTAAGGGGTGAGAAATCCTCCATTTGGCCAACGGATGAGATAAAAGTCCATGTCCAGTGCCCCTCCCGTGGTAATCTGTAGCACTGGACTTG